ACACACACACACACACACACACCTATGAGCATGGGGAAGCAAAGCAATGGAAGGTCTCTGAGTTCATGTAATTCTCCCACGGTAGAGCAAAGGGTTACAAAGAGAGAAGTAAACAACTACCAGGTAGCAGTACTCTATGAAAAGCTCATAGAAGGAATGAAAAAAATAGATGAGTTCAAAGAGAAAATGAACCAAAAGTTCAATGCAATTTCACTCAATATGCTCACGGTGAATTATGGGGAAATAGGTTAAAAAAAAAAACGAAAACAAAACTGGATAAATTAACCAATACAGTTCAAAATTTGAATGGCAGATTCAACAAGGATACAGAATCCTCAAAAAATGTCAGACAGGAATACTTGAAATAAAAAACTGAATAGAATTCATAAATTGCAGAAACAATAAATATGAAGACAGAGTATTGAGGACAAATAGAGTGAAACAAATAGACTGATACTGAAGACAAATAAGTGAACTATGCTGAAGAGCTCAAAGAAGCCAAGAAGAAAATAAAAGAATAAGAGAATTTATCCAACTACTAGATGAAAGTAAAAAGACCATTCTAAGGCTAACTGGAGTTAGAGAAAAGCTAGAAGACAGTACAGATAGATTAAATAACATGTTTATAAAAATCATAGAAGAAAATTTCCCAAATTTAAGAGGTTAAAATACAAGTAAGCGATGCTTATACAACAGCAAACAATTATGAAGACAAAAAAAGCTCAGTAAGGCATATCCTTATTAAATTACCAGATATCCAGCAAAAAAACCAAACTATTAAAAGCAACCAGAGAAAAACAAAAAACATATATAAAGGTAGACCAATTAGAATCACAGAATACTTCTCAATACAAACAATAAAGGCCAGGACAGCTTCAAGTGAAGTATTGTAAGTCCTAAGAATAAGTAACTTCCAACCCAGATTAACTTATCTGACAAAGCTATCCTTCAAAACAGACAGAGAAATAAGGTATTTCCATGATAAAGACCAGCTGAAAAGATCAAAAGATGAGTCAGGGATTTAGCTCAGTGGTGCAGCCACCTGCCTAGCAAGTTCAAGGTCCTGAGTTCCATCACAAGTACCAAAAAGAAAGATTAAAAGATGAATACTAAACCAACTCCTCAGAAAATAATTAAGAATATCTTGACAGAAATCATGAAACAGGTGAGACCCCCGCAGGCATGGCCACCAGCCTACAGCTTGGCCTTGAGGTCAGAACTTCCCAGGTGGCTGTGCCCTGCTCCATCCAGATTGCCCCACTCACTTGTATCCATGAGACTGAGATCCCTCCATGGCATGCCCACCAGCCACCAGCTGGGCCTTGAGGTCAGAACAGTTCCAGTGGCGGTGCCCTGCTCTGTCGGGCTTGCCAGACCCACTTGTATCCAGGAGACTGTGAGACACTCCCCACCCCAGCACATCCACCAGCCACCAGCTTAGCCATGCAGGCACCTGCAAAAACAGACCCCTCCCTCCCCACCTCTGGCGTCTTGGCTGTGCAGCTACCTGGTTCCACACTACAAAAGCATACAGGGACATAAAGGCCATTGTCTTGAGTTGCAGAAGTGAACAACAGAGAGAGGGCCTCTCTCGGGCTCCCTGATGAAAACTGAAGCCCACTGGAAAAGTGAAGATAATCTCTACAATAAAGGCACATCAGACCACCATACTTAGTAAATTGGAGGGATCATCACCTCCCATCGGAACCTGGACTATCTTCAGGAGAAAGGCAGCTGGTAACTGCAATAGAACCTTACAGAGTTCAACCCTGCAGGAGGACAGGGAGCTCAACTTGGGACTTGCAGCCGGAAATCTGCCTGAATCTCACGGGTCTGTGACTGGCTTACTGAAACTCACTGACTTATAACTGCACAATGCTGCCCACGTTGTCTATTGTGACAGCAGAGAGATACCCTGAAGGAGGCCCTTCATTTTAATCTTTTATTTGTTACTTTCAAAATAACCATTATTTTTCTTGCTCTTATTTTTTATTTTTTTCTCTTCTTTTTCTACTCTTTTAAAATTTTTATTTTTCTCTCTTTTCTTTCTCTCTTTCTCTCTCCCTCGCTCCCTTGCTGTCCCACATTGTTCTTCATCTCCCTTTGTGTTTCTGTTCTGGCCCTAATTTGTATTTCTTCTTTATTTTACTTTTCTTCTCTATCCTTCTCTTGCCTGTGCCCTCTGGCCTTACTGTTAACATTCCCCTACCCCTCTATCTACCTACTCTTTCTAACTCCCCATTCTGAAGGGTAAAGTTGCTATATTGAAGAATTTATTCAGTATACACATATGTTGGATTGGTTTTTGATCTTGATTTCATTCACACAGGTACAGGTGATAGGTTAATAACGACCACAAATTATCATTTTCTAAAAGGAACTTGATGCTATTGTGTTGCTGATTGCATCACTTGGGCTAAGGTGTTGTGATTAATCTAATCAGGTGTCCTTCCTGGTATAATGAAAATGAGACAGCCTCAGAGCTACTAGAGGTTCAAAATCTAAAGACCAGTTATGCCTGGAAGACACCTCTGAGAAGCAATTATTCCATAAGGGTTCTAAATACATCAACAAAGATACTTACAGTAACAACTTCAAAGTAGCAACCCAGAAACTAAACCAAGGACAAAAATGAGAGACATTTAAGCAAGGCACAAACTCAGACTTCCACCCAAAAAAAAGGCAAATTCTGAGGGAATGGAGGTGGGAAAGTCTGATAATCAATCACTTGGACACACTGAACTGATAGTACAAGGAATAACAAAACACATGAATGAGGCTCTAGAAAAATTCAAAGCAGAAATAATCTCCCAGATAAATACAGAGACGGTGAGCAGAGGGAAACACGTGATTAGAGGCTCTAGAAGAGAAACAGAAAAAAAAATAGATGAGCTCAGAAACATGCTGGAAGCCATGAATGCCCAGCATAACAAAAAAATGGAAACCATGAT